CCTAAGTAAAGTAAACTATAAACATTCCCCGCCATATTCAAGTTGTAAACACCTATGTAAACACCCTAAACCCTAAACCCCTAAACCCCAAACCCTAAACCTACCGAAACCTTATTCTCGAACCCTATGAAAATTCGTCCTATGAAAGCCCGTCATCAAATGGGTAGTTCTCTAAATTAGGGTCCCTTTTTGGGTCCCCAATATAGTACGGCACCCTTGTAGAAAGGATATGAAAAGGGACCCAAATTTGCAGAACTACCCAAATGGAGCTTTCGGATGGGAGGAGAGCCCAATACCCCTTAATTAAGGAAGATAGCTGAAATCCTAATTTTCATCCCCACATTTAAATACTTTAAGCTAGATTCCTTCAGTCAAGGGTATTGGGCTCTCTGGGTTCGTCGTCAACCCGACATCTACGGTTAGAAGTATGGGCCCCTAATATGGACCCTTAAGCCTTTCTAGAAATCCTTAGGGTACATATAGGGTATATAGTAGGTATATACGGATCCCACCCTTAAGGGCCCATACTAGGGGCCATGGTTTCAACCTTGGATCCCTACACCCTAAACCCCTAAACCCTGAACCCCTAAAGCCTTAACCCCCAAACCCTAAGACACCCTGCCGCCTCCGACGGGATACTGCGCAGCGAGATTCACTGCAGGTCCGCTCCCCAACGAGCGCCCGAAGAGGACAATCTGACCCGGGTCGTTTTTTTTTATGGACCCTAAACGGTTTAGGGTTTAGGGTTTCGGGGAGTTTAGGGTTTAGGGTTTGGGGCTTAGGGCGAACCCTAAACCCTAAAGGTTTAGGGCTCAAGGGCTTTGGGTTTAAAGTTTAGGGTTTAGGGCTTAAGGGCTTTGGGTTTAGAGTTTAGGGTTTAGGGCTTCGGGGTTTGGGGTTTAGAGTTTAGGGTTTAGGGTGGGTCGTTCCTTCGAGGGTTCGACACGGCTTCTAGTGGCGCTCCTCTAGGGTTCCAAAGGGGTTTAGGGATTTAGGGACTTAAAGTTCTTAGGGTTTGGGGCTTAGGGCTTAGGGCCTAAACCCTACACCCTAAACCCCAAATCCTGAGAACTTTACGTCCCGAAGGTTTAGGGCTTAGGGAGTTCGGAGTTGACAACACTCTGAGGTTTGGGGGTATAGAATTCTGACATCAAGCCCCTAAGCCCATAGCCTCTAAGCCACAAGCTACCGCCACCCTCAAGCCTCTAAGCTTTAAAAATCTAATGTGGAGGCCTAAATTATTAGATTATGGCTTTGGGCTCCTTTGTAGCACAGTTATAATAAGGAGCACTAAGGAATAATATTGTTAACTATCTAAGCCTCTATAATAGACCCGCAACTCTGAACCCCGCGAAGCTTGCACACTGGAATCTGGCGGTTGCAGAAATAGTAAAAACACAAACCAATGGAACAATGATCAACGTCGTGAAGAAAGTGAGACAATAGTGAACAAATAGTGACATTTACTCCCTGACAAGAAAAATATGGTGACAGTTACTCCTCTCTACGCAACCTGTCGTTAATTTCTCACCAGCTGCTCAATAATTTCTCACCGCAAATATTCACATTGTTAGCTGATTTGGGGGTTTCCGAAAATAGGGGACCCTGATATAGTACCCTAAACAATAGGATCCTTATTACAAGGACCCCAAAATAAGCTACCCCTAATTGTTGGAAACTCCCATTTACCACAGCTGCGAACACAGACACCATCCGGCTCACTAGTTTAATCACGAAATGATCACAGCCTCCAGCAAAGACACTGTCCGGCTCACTAACTCGATCACAGGTTCAGTCACTACCTAGATCTATACTGAACTTAGACCCCTGCTTCTTAGGGTTTACAGTAGCCAAAGATTAAAAATTATTTCTAAGTACCCCTAAGGATAATGACTAGTTGGTCACAGATTCGAACACACACGAGAACCCGTTACACTATCTCGGTCACAGGTTCAATCACTAACTAATCACTAATTTAATTCGTCAACACCACCTCAACGGTTGCCCGGCCTCCCAACCACAACTCAACTCCAAGTTCCAAACCAGGCCTTAAGGACCTCCAGTTGCTCCACTTGTCACTAGTCAGTTTTTGCAAACGAAAAAGGAAGAGCGCGCACTACCGGCGAACCGGAAACTAGCCATCCATGGTTATTTTATTTTGGTGATGATCGTACTGTTCTTTTGATGTTCTTTCGACCGGTTGCAAGGTAAGCCAAAAAAATCAGATATCCTTATAGAACGACTACAACTAGAACCCAAAAAACCCTAAAGAAAAGGGTACATACACCCACAATCTACGCTAAGGTCCTATGCTTGGCCTGATATCCCGCCTCGGGTACCTTACAAAAGTTCGACGAAGGTCCCTAAACCCTAAACCCTAAACCCCTAAACCCCTCAACCCCTAAACCCTAAACCCTGAACCCCAATTCCCTTTGAGAGGAATCCCAGGCCTGGGAATACCGGACTCCTACCTCATCCACCAGATACCTGAGGGGTTTAGGGTTTAGGGTTTAGGGTTTAGGGTTTAGGGGAGGATGTAGACAGCATGGGGATGTAGAAGGTTTTAAAGAGCGTTGTAAGAGTTTTATTGGATCTATGAGGCTTAAGCCCTAATACAGGAGCCTTTCTGATTAAAACAGATCTCAGGATCTCTTGTACTTTCATGTAATACAGATTTGTATATATATATATATAGATAGATAGGGACTACAACGGGATACGATTCCTGATTCTTCCCGCCTAGTAAAGTATGTTATAGGATTTAGGCTTGGTGGGTCGCAGGGCCTCAAAGGGCCATAGAGTATAGTGGTGTGCACGGGGTTGGGGTTTAGGGTTTAG